TACCTTTAATTCCAATGTTCAATCAGTACAATGCGTGTACTGTGGTGAAGGTCACTCTTTTGAGCAGTGTCCTGGAAATTCGGAACATGTAAATTATGTCAACAAGACTGGACCATTTTCACAGACTTATAATCTAGGATGGCGAAATCATCCAAATTTTCCGTGGCATAGTCCAGCTCTTAATCCAAAAATGCAAAAGCCACAAGGACAGTCCAATTTTCAACTGCAAGGACAGTCCAATTTTCAACAACAAGGCCAGTCTAATTTTCACTCGCAAGCGCATCAAGGCAATCATAATAATTAACATGCTAATTTTCAGAATCATCAGTCTTCTTTCCAAAGCATGCCCAAACAGCAAGCTGAGTCATCTACTTCTTTGGAAGCAATGATGAAGGTTTTTATAACCCAAACTCAAGCTTCAATTAAAAATCTCAAAACTCAAATGGGACAAATGGCTTTGGAAATAAGAAAAAGACCAATAGGTTCTCTACCTAGTGATACAGAGATACCTCAGAGGGAAGGAAAATAGCATGTTAAGGTTGTTACGTTAAGGAGTGGAAAAAGTTATTTAGAAAACACCCAAAAAGAACAAAAAGAACCAAACAAAGCAGAGATTGAAAAGAAAAGTGTAGAACAAGATTTTCTTACCTCTATACCAGATTTTGTGACTACCATTCATGTGAGTACTAGTGAGCCGCAACCCATAGTCAGGCCCATAGATAGTACGACCATTCCAGAAAGATCAGATTTTCCACTGTTATTTCCTGATGAACCCAAGACAACCCAGACTCCTAAAGAAAGTGTTGTAGTGGATGTGTCACAATCTGGTGACAGTCCCACAATAAAAGACCAGACTAGTCCTTTAATCCCTGTTAGGACTGAATCAGAACCAATTGTGAGACCAGTTTTGAAACCGATTCCAGCACCAACTCTTCAAAAGACTACGTCTCCTATTGCAGTCACTCCTTATATTCCTTATCCTTAAAGATTAAGGAATCAAAAGGAAGAATTACAATTTAAAAAGTTTCTTGATGTTTTTTAAACAGTTGCACATAAACATACCCTTGGTTGAAGCCATTGAGCAGATGCCAAGTTATGCAAAGTTTTTAAAGGACATTTGGAGCAAAAAGAAAAAGTTGACTGAATACGAGACCGTAGTTCTGACTGAAGGTTGCAGTGCTTTGTGGTCCAGTAAAATTCCTCCTAAAATGAAAGATCCTGGAAGTTTTTCAATCCCTTGTTCAATTGGAGGAAAAGAAATAGGAAAAGCTCTATGCGACTTAGGTACTAGCATAAACCTGATGCCTTTATCTGTTTTCAATACCCTAGGCATAGGTGAAGCTAGACCTACGACTGTAACTCTACAGTTAGCTGATAAGTCCATAGCCTATCCCAGAGGAAAGATTGAGGATGTCCTAGTTCAGGTTGATAAGTTTATTTTCACAGCTGATTTTATCATCCTAGACTTTGAAGCCGACAAAGACATTCCCATCATTTTAGGGAGACCCTTCCTAGCTACTGGTAGAACCTTGATAGATGTACAGAAGGGAGAATTAACCATGAGAGTCCAGCCATCATTTCATCATCATTAGAAGCTGACCAAGAAGAAAAGTTGGTTGACATGTTGAAACTTCATACCAAGGCCATAGGATGTACAATTGCTGACCTCAAGGGGATAAGTCCCACCATTTGTCAACATAAAATTATCTTGGATGACAAAAGTTTCACCTCCGTTGAGTCTCAAAGAAGACTCAATCCTGTCATGAAGGAGGTTGTCAAAAAGGAGATTTTAAAATGGCTTGACGCTGGCATAATTTATCCTATTGCTAGTAGTACCTGTGTCAGTCCTGTGCAATGTGTACCGAAAAAGGGAGGAGTCACTGTTGTACCAAATGAGAAAAATGAACTTATACCTACTAGAACAGTAGCTGGTTGGAGGATGTGTATGGACTATAGAAGGCTTAATAAAGCCACTCAAAAAGACCATTTTCCATTACCCTTCATAGACCAAATGTTAGATAGACTAGCARGRAAAKAGTTTTATTGTTTCTTAGATGGCTACTCCGGTTACAATCAGATTGCCATAGCACCGGATGATCAGGAAAAGACTACCTTCACATGTCCATATGAAACTTTTGCTTTTAGAAGAATGCCTTTTGGACTTTGTAATTCACCTGCCACTTTCCAAAGGTGTATGATGTCTATTTTCTCAGATATGCTAGAACACTCCATGGAAGTTTTCATGGATGATTTTTCAGTTTATGGGACATCATATGACATGTGTTTGCAAAACCTTGAAAAAGGTCTTAAAAGATGTGAAGAAACAGATTTGGTTTTTAACTGGGAAAAGTATCACTTTATGGTAAAAGAAGGCATAGTGTTAGGGCATTTAATTTCCAAAAGAGGCATTGAAGTTGATAAAGCAAAGTTAGAGGTAATTGAGAAGTTACCTGAACCAACAACTGTCAAAGGGATCAGAAGTTTTTTAGGACATGCAGGTTTTTATAGGAGGTTCATTAAAGATTTTTCAAAAATATCAAAACCTCTTTGTTTATTATTACAGCATGACCATGTTTTCAATTTTAATGAAGATTGTAGAAAAGCTTTCAACATTTTAAAAGAAGCGTTGGTCACTGCTCCTGTGGTAATAACACCTGATTGGTCCAAACCTTTTGAAATAATTACTGATGCTAGTGACTGGGCAGTGTTGGGTCAAAAGAGAGAAAAGATTTTTCATCCTATTTATTATGCAAGCAAAACTCTTAATGATGCTCAAATCAATTACACCACTACTGAAAAGGAATTATTAGCTGTGGTCTTTGCTTTTGAAAAATTCAGATCATACTTGATGGGAACCAAAGTGATTGTTCATACTGATCATGCTGCCATCAAGTACCTTATTTCTAAAAAAGATGCAAAGCCAAGGTTAATAAGGTGGGTCTTGCTTTTCCAAGAGTTTGATTTGAAAATCATTGATAGAAAAGGGGTGGATAATCAAGTGGCCGACCATCTGTCAAGATTGGAAAAACAAGACAAACCAGTGCCAAGTAGTGACATCTGTGAAGTATTTCCAGATGAAAGAATTTTGATTCTTAATCATACTACAGTGCCTTTGTTTGCTGATCTTGTTAATTACTTAGCTTGTGGGATTATTCCCAAGGAATTTAATAAGTATCAAAGAAAGAAGCTCATCTATGATTCAAATAAATATTTATGGGATGACCCTTTCTTGTTTAAAATTTGTGCAGATCAGGTGATTAGAAGATGTATCCCAAAAGAAGAAGTACCATCAGTTCTACAGCACTGCCATGCAGGACCCTATGGAGGACATTTTGGAGAGAGTAGGACAGCATCCAAGGTTTTACAATCAAGATTCTACTGGCCTACTTTACACAATGATGCTCAAAACTTTGTAAAAAGTTGCAATGAGTGTCAGAGAAGTGGAAATATCTCCAGAAGAAATGAAATGCCTTTAAACGAAATTCTAGAAATAGAATTATTTGATGTTTGGGGTATAGACTTTATGGGACCTTTTCCTCTGTCCAATAATTGTGCCTACATATTGGTTGCTGTGGACTATGTGTCAAAATGGGTGGAAGCCATGGCTTGCCATTCCAATGATGCTAAAATAGTTGTGAAGTTTTTACAAAAGCACATATTCACTATATTTGGTACACCTCGTGCCTTAATTAGTGATGAAAGCACTCACTTCATAAACAACATGTTAGAAGAAGTCCTTGATAAGTATGACATCAAGCATAGGGTGGCAACTGCCTACCATCCTCAGACCAACGGATTAGCTGAATTGTCAAATAGGGAGATAAAAGGGATTTTGGCCAAAGTAGTCAAGCCACATAGAAAGGATTGGGCCTCTAAGTTAGATGATGNCGGATTAGCTGAATTGTCAAATAGGGAGATAAAAGGGATTTTGGCCAAAGTAGTCAAGCCACATAGAAAGGATTGGGCCTCTAAGTTAGATGATGCGTTATGGGTCTTCCGGACTGCTTACAAAACCCCTATTGGTATGTCTCCCTATAAATTGGTCTTTGGAAAAGCTTGTCATTTACCTGTGGAATTAGAGCACAAAGCCTATTGGGCCATTAAGAAACTCAACATGAGTTTAGATGAGGCCGGAAGAAAAAGGACTTTGCAGCTTTGTGAACTGGAAGAACATAGGAATTTTTCCTATGAAAATACTAAGCTATACAAAAAAAATACCAAGAAATGGCATGATAAAAAGATTCTTCCAAAAGAGTTCATAAAAGGCCAAAAAGTCCTGTTGTTCAATTCAAGGTTAAAATTATTTTCGGAAAAGCTGAATTCCCGATGGACCAGACCCTTTGTTATAGCCAAGATATACCCCTACGGAGTTATTGACTTGATAGATCCAGAGAGGGGTACCACTTTCAAAGTGAATGGACAAAGAATAAAACCTTTCTTTGATTCAATGGTTGTTACGCAAACTATTGAGGTTATCTTTCTAAAATAATAATTCATTGTAAATATTTAGTGTATATATATATATATATATATATATATATATTTATAAGTTATTATTTTTATTTTGCATTTTCAATTTTTATTTTTAGACTAAATTTTTAATTTTATTTTTCATTCTAGAATAATTATCTATTTATAATATATTAGGCTTATAGTTAATTTTAATGTTTGGGTTTTCTTTTAACTATTCTTTGGGCCAGCATTCGATTTAAACTAGACAGCCCACAAATTTCTGGTTATTATTAACCAGGCCGACCAAAACAATTTTAACCCATTTGTGTTTGTTGTCTTCATTTCTTAACAGGCCACAAAGAAGGAAGCCCAAAGTTAAATCTGTGTTCACGAAGCCCGCGAAGATGAAGCCCAACATCGAAGCCTATGTTTGGTACGACCTGTCAAAGAGCCCACGTTTTTCTTTGTACCAGTTACTGTCTATTCATCTTCAACCTCTCAACTCACTCCATCACTGTACTTTCCTCTCCATTGTACCACTTCCCATAAGCAATAGCTAATCCCAAGCAAACATTTTCAGAGAGAAAAGACTTCATGTGAACTGGCATTGCTTAGCAAGGTACGATTTCTGACTAATCATACTAGTCGCTCGATAACTGTCAATCATCCAGGGAAATTTTGAAATTTTCGAAGCTACAATCTTGGAGACTAAGTTTAGAAGCTTTAAAAACGCATAATCACTGTTCGTACACTACTCGGGTTCTTTGCAAACCACTGTTCACAATCATTGTTCTTCTTTGCTCCAAGAACCATTAATAGTCCCCTGTGCACTCTGTATGGCCATTATCAAAACTCGAGCAAGAAGAATGGAAGGGGAATCTGATTCTATGCCTCCTGCGACCAATAATGATCACTCCAGTGAGAGTGAAGAAGAACCCATTGATGCCATTCCCTTGAGGCAGGTTCCATTTGCCAAATCAACACCACAATCTCTTCCTCAAATTCAAACTCAACCTCAAAGAGTTGTGAAGACTGAGCCGCAACCATTACCACAACCGCAATACCAAGTTGGCTCTAGAATGACAAGAAGCAGAGCCAAAGGCCTTACCAATTTCAAGCCAGTGAAGCAGAAGAAGGGCACTGTGATCAACCTATCTGATGAAAGTGATTCACCACCTGAGAGGCCTGTTGCTCAAACCAGTGCATCCAGACCACCACAAGCAGATCCAACTTCCTTAAACACATTGATAGATGCAACAACTCAAATGAACACTCGAAGCATACCTCCAAGCATCATAGAAAGACTCCAAACAGGTATGAGAAGCACTAGACCTTTAATTATGGATTTGTTATCTAGTTTTCCTATATACCCTCAAGCCAGTGTTGGTTTCATGTTGAGGAGATATGTGGATGAGGCCATTGCTGCCTCTAATGAGGTATTGGGCCTAAGATCAGCAACTTGTGCACCCACCGTATCCATGGTCCACACTCAGGCTTTTATGGCTGCTCAAGCACCTAAAAAGGGAAATTCATCCCTTAAGCATTCTGTTAGTGCTGCTTTGGCAGCCATGGACAGGATGATTAGGAGGGAACCAGAGTATGATCCATCCCCTGCCTAACCACCTGTTACCACCACATATACGCCCACCTTCACTAGAGACATATCCATTGAGTTCAATTTCATGAACTTACCACATGTTACATCTATTCATGTTTCATCTACCACTGTAGAACCCACCATATTTGACCATCCAACCACTACCCAAACAGTTTCTAAAACTTCCCCTGTTGAAACAGTCACCACCAGCCCAACACCTTCACCAATCCAGCCCACAATCACACCATCTACAGCTACTGAACCTGTTATCCCTTTGCCACCTAATGTGTCCATCCAAGAATTAGACTTTGTCTTAGGTCTATCACCCACTAATCCCAGCCTAACACCCTTTGAACACAATGAAGACCCCTCTGACCCACAAAACACCCCTGTCACTCAAACACCACCACCCTCACCCCACTCCACTCAACCATTCATGCCTAGTCCAAACCAACCCACTAGCCCTATACACTTTGGGACTCATGACTACTATGTGGGTGCACATTTTGCTCATCATAGCCCTGAGTGTAGCATCCCACATGTGGAATAAGAAAGAGAGGAGGTTGATACATGTGCTAGTTTAAAAAAGAAGGTGGCAAGAAAGAGGAGAATAAGCAAAGTTGAAACTAGGAGTTCAAAAAGAAGGAGGGGTGGTGCAAAAGGGTTTTTCACAACAACTATTATTGGCCAATCCTTCCATTAAGGCCACAATAGATTCATTAGGTTGGGAGATTCTATGTGACACACCTAACCAATACAATCTTAGTTGGGTTAGGCAGTTTTACACTGAGGTAGTAGTCACTGATGGGGTAGACTTAAGAGTGAGAAAGACCCCTATTTCATACTCACCCAATGCCATAAATGACCTACTAGAGCTCATCCCGCCTTCATACTCTGAGCTAGATAGGTTGACAGCTGGGTGTTCTGATGAGGAGTTTGATTTGATCTTAGCTAGGATAGCCAAGGAAGGGGCTGTTTGGAGTTTTAAGGGTAGGGCTAGGCTTCTAAAAACTCAATATTTGAAGCCTGAAGCCAATTTATGGTTTTATTTCATGAGACACACAATTCACCCCACTAGCCATGACACTAATTTGTGCCTAGAGAGAGTCTTCATCCTCTACTGTATCCTAGAGGCTAGACCATTTGATGATGGGATGATGATATGCTCCAACATCAAGGCATGTGTGGAATGAACAAATGGCAAGTTGCTATACCCTTCTTTAATTCATAGGCTTATGCAAAAGGCCCAAGTCCTATCCTTGCCCAAAGATGTGATGTCTATGGAGAAGATCTCCATAGACAAGAAAAATTTGGATAGATTGATGAGGGTGAATGCAAAAGTACAACCAGATGCACCAACTTCTTCCATGACAGCCCTAAAGGCTGATTTGTTGAAGGCCATGGAAGATCACACCAATGCCCTGAAGAAGACAATAGTGAAGAAGCACCACAAACTGATGAAGAGGGTAGATGACTTGAAGAGGGAAGTTGATATGTTGAAGAAGGAGAGGGTACAATGGGCTGAGTACAAAATGCAGAAGGAGAGAATGCTCAGAGCTGCTGCCAAGCATGGGAAATCAAAGAGTGCAGTCAAGCTCCCACCTCCACCTAAGTCCATCTTACTACAACATTCAGACTCTCCTACTCAGTCTGAGTAGGACAGGTTCTAACTTCTAAACTCTTTGTATATATTTCCTTTTTTGTTAGGCATGATCATTTAGTGTTTATTTTTGCTGTTTTAAAAACCTTGGCAGATTTGCTGTTTTTATACATATAGTTTACTGTTTTTAGCTGTTGTTTGCTGATTCTAACAGCCTTGAGATGCAACTGTCAATTTTGTTTTTTTAAAGCCTGAAGCATGGTTGCTTTTGTCCATTCTAATTCCTCTGTTTTGACAGTAGTATTTTAGGTCCTTACTAGTCTAGTTATTCTTATGCTGTTTAGAATCCATGTTATTGTCTAGATACTGTTTGGTATTTATTTGTCTATTTCAACATGGATTTTGGCTATGTATATAGTTATGTTTCGCTGTTTTAATTTAGCTGTTTTTAATTTGCTATTTTTAGATCTAGTTTCATGTTTGATTTTGCTGTTTTCAATAGTTCTTTGCTGTTTCAAAGTCCTGATTGGTTGCTGTCTTTTATTTTGCTATTTTTGTGCATAGGGTTTGATATTCAAATTTGCTGTTTTTAATGGTTAGATACTGTCTGGATTTTGCTGTTTTAACCTTCTTACTTTCATTTGCTGTTTAGACCTTGATCAGTCCTTCTCATGTCTTTTCTTTACTATTTTGACCATGCCTATTTGTCTTAGGATGATTTTGTTTCTCTTTGCCACATTTTAGGCAATTTGTTGTTTTAAGTGTTACGCATTGCTACCCATGCACTTCCTTTTGCTATTTTTAGTATTTCTTGAGCATGCTTTATGTTATCTCTAATCTTTGCTGTTTTAAGATTAAGACAGTCATACTCATGCATTCTATTTGCTGTTTTTAGCTACATATCATAGTCTAAGGGCATGGTTTGCATATATATATATATATATATTGATAATTCTGTCTTTTTTTTTTGCCTCAATTGAGGATATTTGCTGTTTTTAGGATATCATATAGTCATACTAATGCTTTATCTTTGTTGTTTTAACATTGTTAAGGGCTCATATAGCCCACTGTTTTGAGTTCTTGATTGTTTGTGTTGTTTATCTCAATTGAGATGTTTTGCTGTTTTATGGTTT